TAGAGCCCAAACCCTAGCCAGCTAGACAGCCCAGCTGCCTCTACTTTTAATGAAATTTATGTCCAAGTGTGCTTTACTGATTTCATTTTTATCTCACTGTTCCTTCTAAGAGTACATGGATCCTCCCCTCCCAAGTTTTGTCCTTATAGCAAATCCTGAAGGTGGGTTAGATTCGTGGGTTGGTTACTGACTCAGTTTGCAATGATCTTTGAGGCTGAGCAGGGATTGGATTCCAGACCTCCCCAAGCAAAGACTTCTACCCACAACCACACTGGAATGGTGGCCTTAAATCATCCCACTTCCGCTACTATGGAATATTGTGTCCACATGAGTCCCTCTGTCAATAGCTAGAAACTGAACACAACAGAGATATAATCAATATTTTTAACCGGTCATGACAAACATCAACTAACTCCACAACAAACACTGCTGTCAATAGTTGCTCAGTCTTCCTGTCGCGTGCACAGTCCTCTCCTGCTGCAGTTTGTAGTAACCAAAAATACTTTTTATTGGTGATGATATACAGTCAAGGCCTATGCTGAAAACAAGAAGGTGGACGAACATCATGACAATTGCAAGAAGGCATTTTTGAGCTCAGTCTTGGGTTCAAACATTATCTCTACCCCACTGCCCCAGGAGTCTGCAGCAAATCTCTACTCTGTCTTCAGCTGCTCTTCTTTAAAATATGAATAAAAGAGATTACAGCACAAAGATACTGTGGCAGTGAAAGAATTAATAATGGTGAAGCATAATTAAAATGCTTTGGAAAATGTACATCTTACAAATACCAACTGGACATGCACCATAGCACAAACCAGAATTTGTAGATCTTACTATACACCAGGGAAAGCTAGCACTGCAGATAGTTAATATATCCAGTGTGTGAGATTTAAAGTGCAGTCCTAAACAGAGCTCCATCCTTATAAGGCCATTGACCTCAGCAAATTTGGAAGGGTGTAACTCTTTTTAGGACTGTACAGTTAATCTTTTTCTTTGTACATTATGCATACATGATAAAAATAAATCAAGGTACAGAGAACAGCAATTTCAAAGTACAAAACAAAACCCTACATTCATATGCAACTAAAGTTCATATACAGGTTAAAAAACAAACCTCTTTGCTCCCATACACTAGTAACTGTCACAGAAACCTGATAGTTAATAAATGCCAAATACCCTTAGCACAAGTTTTTAAAAATGAATGTACAAATTGAGGCACGCATATTTTCTACCTTTACATGTTTTATATCACACAAAACTTGAGAATCAAGAAATTGTTAGAGACAACGCATCCAGTCCACCTCTCACCCCAAAGACTGACCTATCCATCTACCCTCCTTATTGCTTGTTCACTCCAGACCACTCTCTGGAATCCATAATACCATGTACTGGTGAGATGTAGTTCAGAAAGACATCTGAAAAACAAATAGCTCCAGGTGACTCTGGTGCTATACATGTAGTGGGAACATATAGCTGACCATTAATTGTAGGGGTGCTTACATTTCAGAGTATACTTCAGCTACAGCTGAGCCACATTTTCACTACTAAGGCTCTAGCTTTTGAAACATGTAAATGAGTTATTTAAAAAGAGAGAATGCTTCAGAGCACGTGTACAGTTCCTTTACTAATGGTAATCATATCTAGCAAAATGGGACACTGCATCTGTTCCTCTACATTTTCACTTCACAGCTTTCTTTGTGCGACAAAAAAGATCTTCTGTGTATTTGTAAGCGTAGAGCAAGACAATAAATGATGTGTGAAAATGGACTGTGTAAAAGCAAAATAAATTATGCGTTAATTGTTTTCATGCACATTTCAAAATGACCCAAGCAAGCACTTTCCCCACTCCTTCGAAAGCCAAGTTTCATAATTAGAGGCTGTGAAATAACGCAGGCAATGGATCCTCTGAGTGTGTGCAGAGTACATTTACATCATCACTATTTCACTATTTCACTAACTACCTTTGAGGAGTACATTTACATCATCACTATTTCACTAACAACCTTTGAGGACCTGCTTTTTGAATACGTGACTAAAGCAGATGACAGTAAGTGGCATCTTGTGCTGCTTCATGTGACATTTTGGCCAATTCAGTGTTAACAGACATTCCCTCTCCCCTGCAATAACTTTACTATGGATAAAGAAGGCAATACAAATCATGTTTGTGCTTCCTTGGTCAATACATGCAAGGGAATAGAATTTAAAACTGCTTCCTACAGGATATATATTTGGATAAGAATTTATCAAAATGTGAGCCAAACATGCCCTGTCTGTTAACCTCAGAAGGGTAACTACGGTAATCAGAATGAAGCTTCTTTGGACTTTTGAACCTAAACTAACTAGGTCAGTCTTGGCTGTTTTTCCGCCGGTGGTAGTGCTACAATGTCTGCAGCTGCAGTCTGCTTTCAGTTTTAATCTTTCTTGCTGTCCTTAAGTTCTTGTTTCCCTGGGCACCAAGAGGAGAATGTAATTCAGAGGATACCTGCTTGACAGTTATGCCGGCCAACCAAAACACTCAGCTTGTGTTCCTGTCATACAACATCAGCCCTGATTGGTATTTCTTTGCATGGTGTTTCCTCCCACTCACATTTCTGGCTTGGGGAGGGCTCTCACTCTGTATAAAAGCCCCACCCCCTGCTTCCGGACGCCCCGCTTCCAGCCCTCATTCAGCCAGGAGGAGGCAAGAGAAGAGGGAGGGTAAGTTGCTTCCTCCCCGCCTCTCCCCACCCCTGCCTACCTGGGGTCAGGGAGGGCCTTGGCGGGGCTTCCTCGCACTCCTGCTGGCCTTGCAGGTCCACCGCCGGGCCCCTGATGTCAGGGGGTGTGGCATATGCTAATGAGTTATGCTAATGAGTTCCCCTAGCTCTTTTTCTACGAAATGACCCCTGCCTGATTGGTATTTCTTTGCATTGTGTTTCCTCCCACTCACATTTCTGGCTTGGGGAGGGCTCTCACTCTGTATAAACTGACCCACTGCTTACCTCAGCCATTCCAGTTACTGGACATGAGCCTCAGTTGCAGCGTGCCGGAAGGTGGCCTGAGAATAGAAGCATGGGGGATTTGGCCTAAGATTAACTTCCATCTGCCATCATGTCTGGTGCCTTCAGGAAAAGAAGAACCTATGCTGGGACATATTTTATGGTGGGGTAGCAAATAAATGATCTAAATAAATAAACTATGAGTCAGAAAAGCTGGAAAATATTAGTTTTCAATACTTTTCACAATATGCGGGAATAATTAATTTCACTCCGTGAGATGAATTCATCTTAATTGCTTGAGTGCACACACACATACATACTCACAGTCACCTTGTGGTTTCCTTTTTCCATTCAACAAGACAGGACACGATCCACCCCTTACTTCACACCAAAACCAAATTGTAGACGGGGCTCCACAATAGAAACAGAGTAATTATCCCTCCTAATCCCTCATATGTCAATGTACTGCCCAGCATTCTAATGTAGTGCTATGGAAGCTGTGATGTGCCTGAAAAATACACTCTTAACTGCATTGAACCCAGGACAAATACCTCATGTGGAAATGGTCAGGTCTAAAGGCAAAGCATATTCCTGGTAGCACTAGTCAGATCCTGATCCTAGAGGCAAGCCCATCGAAGTACTTTCTGGCTGCATCCCCCTTTTGAGGTGCGTACAGGGCAGACTCTAGGGAAGCCACTGCCAGCTGTGACCCCCAGCTCTGATAATCAACTTGGTTACAGTGCACATTATTTAACTTTATAAATTATCTCAATTCAGTTTTTGAATATGTATAAAGCTGAAACAAATCTGTTCCCCACCAAATTCTCCTCAAAAATATCTAAGGAGGATTGCTGAATGATCTTGGATTTTGGTTCCCCCACCCCCAAAAGGATGATGCTTAGTTAGAACAGAACCAGTTTGTCAGTATTTTGTAGATCTTTCAGAGGAGGGTAACAGGACAAAACATTTGGTGAGGATTGTGCAGTTGCAACCCATAGTCTCAAAAGTGTTTCCCCCAGTATCCATGGTCTCTACAGAAATCCAAGAGATAAGAGCCATGCAGTAGTAGTGTGCACTAACTGGGACATCTGCAGAATGTGTTTGGTGAAGTGGAATCCCAAGAAAGAGGGTAACAGAATCCAATCAGAATGAAACTGGGGGTAACTGGCTTATTTCTACCAATTATCCTGTGTGCATTTTGAGTGAATAACCCGAGAGTATGCAAACCTTTGATCGTTCAACAGTACTTAACATCCAACATTTGGTAACTGTTGTGATGTGCCAATGCAAAATCGGACATGTAGCACTCAGGATCTGACAATATCTGACAACTGATATGCATTAGGAGTCAGAGTTTGACAGTTTCTGACATACAGGAATCACCAGTTGACAGTCTCTCAGCTGACAGTAGCAAACAAAACACATAAATCAATATTTGGCAATTTCCCAAAGATAATTTGGAACAGAGTTTAAATAAATGTTATACTAACTTCATTCAACTTATCAAACGAGATGGATTTTGAGGTCAAATTCTTCTAAACGTTCAATACATAGGTAAGGCTTCAGCACTAAATTCCGAATTGCACAATCTGAAATTTCATGAGGAATGTAATTTTAGCTGTCTAAGTGCATGAATTAGAGTATAAATTAGGTAAATAGATATTTTTAATAAATATCTTAAGAGTAAATGAACTTGCATGCTTTCTACTGTCCAAACTCACCATGTTCTTATTGCTTATAATTACTAATTGTGCACTCCATAAAGATTTGCCTTCCATTTTCAGAACCTTCCCTTCTTTAACATGATGATTTACATCCATCTTGTTGCATCTGCATAAATCTGCAATTTAATTTCTATACCATCCACCTAGTAAAATGCTAAAGAACATCTCTCTCTCTTTGCCTTTTGCACTAAGAAATTGCCATAGTAATCCCTGAAATAGTTTACGCAGGAATTTTTATTATCTTAAATCTTCCAGTGTTAAAGCAACAAGAAAACATTTAGAACATCCTTTGGTGGAATCTTATTACACTTGCTATAATATGTAAACTGATATTCTTTGATGCCAGCACGTTGCCCATACAGAGAAATCTCTGCACAATTAAATGAAAAGCAAAAGCATAAATAAAGAAAAAATAAAACATAACTTTCCCCCCTTTACCAGATTAGGAATAAAGTACATTAATAAACTGTCTGTTAACACAAATTGGCAATAATACAAAAATCTACATATTACATTAGTCAAGAAAAATAACTTGATTTGAATACAAAAGGATAAATACACTCTTTTTTTGTCCTATAGCCACTCTTGTACAATAGTTGAGCACCATATCAAACTGATGCAGTGCATCTAAGATATACAAGGGTATGACTGGCTTGAGATTTACTGAGGAGGGACACATGTGCATTACTAACATCAGACAAAGAAATCTTCAACCAACAAGGGTTACAGAGCAACGGTCACTAAAGCACAGTTGGAAAGGGATTCGGGGGCTGAAGCAGGCCAATATGGCAGCTTTGAAACTGATTTCCTTATACCCACAATGCACTGACAGCAAAGAATGCCTCTGTTTGGTTGGTCCACACACTGGGAAGAGGTACGGTCGTACACCAGATCGGAGGAGCAAGGTTTTGTGGGGGGGATTTTTTTGTATTCCCATCCGGGGGGGTCCAAAGCCTTTTTTCCGATCCCGTGTAAGCGTTTGCAGCTGGCATTGTGATTAGCAGTAATAGTATTGACAGCTGCCCACTTAACTGGAATCAGAGAATAACAGTCTTGACTCGCTGTGTTGTCCACAATGGATAGATATGGCTTAGTTCTGTTAGGCCTTTTTAGTCTATATATGTGGAGATTTTACTTTCCCCCCCTTTATATTTTTTTTAAAAAAGATTTATTAGCAAATGCTTGCTGCTGCTGCTGCTGCTGCTGTAATTTTTGTTTCTTTCCTTTCCTGTGGCACATTCCTTTTAAAGCAGTCTGAAGTTGATTCCTCCAAAGCTGTATAGCCTAAAATACGAAAAGCTCACTTAATCCTAATAGAGCAACTGGGAGTGATAGAAGAACCAGTGGTTGTAATGATACTGCCCCATTCTTGGAGTCTTGACTGCAGCTTTGTGAATCCTTTTCACAACTCGGTTTCTCACACAATACACCAGTGTAGTGGGGAGGGCACTGGCAGCGTACGTTGTTCAGGCATGTTCCCCCATTCTGGCAAAGCTGAAGTTCATTGTCACACACGTTTGCTGCAAAATGGTGTGGGAAAGAAAAAGAGAGGTGTACTTAATATAAGTGAATTGGTTACGGAAGGCAATGATGAACAATAAGTGCACTGATTTTCATCTTAAAGAAGTTTTCCATGATCAGTGCACTTACGTGTGAGTAACTTCACTGGGATTCTGGTAGTTACTCGCCAGTAAATGCATTTAAGCTTGCAGCAAAGGATTAAGCCACACAGTTCTGACACAGCCCTCTATAATGTTCCCCATTTTAGGAGTCACCTTTTAACACAGAGATGTGTTTTTATGCCACTGGAAACTGAATACCTTTCCAAAAACATCTGAACATTGATCAGGCTGCATAATAGAGCAATTGGAAAACAGTTTGTATGTGTAACCAATTTCTAAGGACCCTGAATGTGCTCATTTGTACAAATCACATGTATGTCAAAGCTTCCAACTGAAACTTTAAATTAATCTGTCCCATTTTCAGGTCCCCAAGGTTATGAGAGCATAAACTCTGTTGATTATACTTGGGAAGACATTAGATTGGGACACAGGTCCCACAATGGCAGGTGCCTGTTCTCTTGGGACACCCCTGTGGTCAAAGCCAGGTGCTAGATACGTTGTTCTGCAAATTGTTCATATACAGTGGCCGAGTTCAGACTGGCAATTTGAAGCGCTAGGGAGTTGTGGCAAAGAAAAAACGGAATAGACCTGGAATGGCTTGTTCCCGGTATTCCCGTTCACACTGCAGTGAATGAAGCGGGAGGATACTGTGGAGGAAGTGCAAGGGAGCGTTCGCACTGTCGCCCGCCTCTGGCGGGCTGTTAGTGTGGTTTCCGTACTCGGCTGCATGCCCCTATGTGCATGGGCACATCAGCAAATAAGGGCAGGATCGACTCCACACTTCCGCTCGTGTGCAAGTGCGCATATGCGCACCTGCACCTGCCACGGAACCAGCTGGCACCTATTATCAACTGCAGGTTGTTCCCGCCTTAGCAGCGCTTGTGTTCACACTCAGGGAACTGGAATAAATGCGCTGTATACACGGTTTGCTACCACTTTAACATGGTATCTTTTAAACTCGGGAGGGAAGCGGCAGAAGACGGCTTGAGTACGGCTGGGGGACACCTGAAACATGTGCCTGTGTGAACCCGCCCCTTTAATTCGCTACTGAAACGCTCCTCAAACATTTGCCTGCAGGGCCAAACTGCCAGTCTGAACGCGGCCACTGTGTGAGAAAATGAGGAACACTTTTTTTAAAAAAAATCACATGGCATAGTCTTTTTGTGAATGTACCATTTCCAACAGCAAGTGGGCAAATCACATTAATAAAATGCTTCCTGTTTATGGAAAGTTAGCATGCCACTGAGGAATGTTCCAGACTAGTGTTTTTTCTGACATGCTAGCTCTCCACATGCAGGAAAATGCACTTGCATGACCTACAGTCTATGTGGTACAGGGAAGGTGGGAGAAAGCTGTAGGCCACTTTGGGTTCCCATTGTGGAGAAAAGTGGGGTATAAATCTAGCAAATAAGCTTACTTTTGCTTATGCAAGATGTTTTAGAGTGGGGTCCCCAACCTTTTTGAGCTTATGGGCACCTTTGAAATTCTGATACTCTCTCTCTCTCTCTGTGCAGGTATAAAATGGGTGCCACAAATGGCTGCTGCAGGAGGTGGAGTCAGCCACAAAATGGCTGATGCAGCTTATATCCAGTCATACAATCCAGGAACCGTGGTGGCAGATGCTGCCAAAGCAATATTTTTAAAAAAATCTGCACAGCCAATCAAATCTCCAACAGCCCATCAGAAGCCTTGCTGGACAAAAGTATCACATGGCCCTGCCTGCTTTCTAAAAACACTTGGAGAGTTCCAGGAAAGGTGTTTGCAGGCGTCGTGGTACCCTGGGAACCATGTTGGGAACCCCTGTTGTAAGTTATTTGCATGGAAGTGACTGGATATTGAATGGCAGTGTGATACTGAAAGAACACCAACTATCCTGGCCTCAGAGAATTCTAGATATGTTGTCACCCCAGCTGCCAATCTCTCCCAACTGGCGATTCTGGGCCAATGGAGGGCATTTTCTCTTGCCAAATGGTGAGCACTTGCCAGATGGTGAGTACAGAAAGGCACCTATGGTGGAGAGGTCCTGTCCTTGTGGCACAGGAGAGGTTGAGACAATAGAACATGTTTTACTCTACTGCCCTTTATAGCTCTAAGTTTAGTCTTACTTTACTTAAAAGATATCCTGTTCACCTGGATTTGGAGTTTGTTAAAATGTTACCTATAGGTGGAAACCCACAGGTTACAGTCCTTAGTACAAAATTTCTTGCAACCGCTTGTAAAATTCACCAGAAAGTTTTATATATTTTAGATTAATTTTAACCATTTTTAATAATTTACTAATTTTGCATTACCTGATTGTATAACCTGATACGCTAATTGCTGTTTATTCACTGTATTGTTCTTATGATCATTGTGATTCATATGTCTGTGATTTGTCCTGGTCTATGACCATTTTAATAAACTTATGGATAGTTATGCATGAAAGCGATTTCTCTAGATCACAGCTACAGACATTAGTGTTGATCCCAGTTAAATACAAAATGGTATTAGAGCAAACTTAATTTGTTGCGGTTTTGCAGGCATAATGTTGTAGATATCCAGTTGGTTGTGAGCATCTATGGTCAGTCCAGATACAATGCTCCTGATTGGTTACTCATGGTTAAACAATCAAGAGTATTACGTCTGACCAGGGCCTCTATTTTTTTTGTTACTTTTCTTGAACCAGAATCTTTAATAATTGTGTTTATATCAAAAAAGATACTTTAGTTGCAGCAAACAGGACAGAACTTGCTTATAACAAAAGTTTCACTCATAGTTGCTGAAAACAAAATGTAAGTATGACACTTGAGCCTTTACAGCAAGCAGTCTATGGAAGATGGCATGATATGGCACGGGAAAGTCAGCATGCTCCTAGGCCACTGTTAAGCAAGGAAATAACACAATTCTTTTAAATCACCTCTGCATTTGATAAAGTGCCTGAAAATAGCACACAATGAACTGAGAAGCATGGAAAGAAAATAAAACAGAGCTTATGGCTTGGATCCCGTGACAGTGGCTTTCCTGCTTTCCCCCCTTCCACATCAGTCTTCTGTTCCCACTGAAATTGAGCTCCTTGAGTGAGTGGACTCCCAGGAACCTGGTGGGGGGGAGTTCCAAATGAGACCCTGCAGTGAGAAGAGGGAATCATCAAAAATCACCCTCCCCACTCTCCCGCCAGTGGATGTTCATAGTAAAAGGGAAAGGGTACTTAGGATCCATGCCACTGAAAGAATATGTGCAAATTATAATTTATCTCCTCACTTAGTCCACAGATTCAGCATGTGATATTGAAAATACTTCTTCCTCAGTGTAAATCCTCCCTAACCTCCACCTACACACATACTTTCTTTTCCATCTAATACATCTCCTAAGTTACAGAGATATACTAAAACACATCCAGCTCTTCGATAATCTGCTTCCTTGGTGCAGGACCCTACTTGAGCCATAGAGCACATGCTTTGCTTGCAGAAGACCCCAGGTTCACTCCTCATAATTGCTAAAGTAAAAGGATGTTATTCAGTATGTCTAAGAAAGACCTTTGTCAGAAATCTTTGATTTTTGCTACTAGTTAGAGAAGCTAGTGCTAAACTAGGTGGGACAACGACAAGATAAGAGGCATCTCCATGTACTCACATGGCATTTTATTCCCCCCACAGGAATATTGCTTGTCACCAACACTCACCTGTTTAAGTTTCTGTGCTCTCATCTACTGTCATATGCTTTACTAGTTCTAAATTAAGTTCTTTCCTATTTTCTTCTTTTAATATGAGAGTTGTAATGCTGCTGTCCCCCCAAGCAAATGCCCAGGTCCAAAGAACACATAGCAAGCAATTAGGAGCAGGCAGGGGTCATTTCATAGAAAAAGAGGTGCATGAGCTCATTAGGATAACTTATTAGCATAACTTATTTGCATATGCCATGCCCCCTGACCCACCCACCACTCAGGCTCCACTGGACTGTTTTGGATTTCTAGCTACTGGGGCACGGGAACGTGCAGATCTGCCCTCACAGAGAAGGGAGAGCTTGTACCTGAAGGCGGGCCGGGGGGGGGGGCGCTCTGCAACTTACCTGGCTGCTTCTTGCTCCTCATGGCCCAACTGAGGGCTGCTGGGAGCAGGGGGCGGGGCTTGTTGCATGTGCCCTCCCCCTGGGCTCCTTACTGCCGGAGCTCTGCTCCTGTGTGCTCCCGCAGGAAATGACCCCTGGGAGCAGGTGAGAAAAGAGGACTGATGCTAGTTAAGGGGAACGGCAGCCATTAGCATTCCTTCATTCACTTTGGTGGTTAGGACAAGGAGACTAATATCTTTATGTGATGTTGTTTGCGAACAGAGGCCAAAAGTCCATTGCAGGAGTCCCTCTAATGAAACACCTATGAACCTATTCTGTAAGTAATGATTACTATTGCAATTTTATGTAATTGGCAGCAGTTGGATGTTAGTAATCCATGGATTTCACACTGCTTGGCTATACTGAAGTAGCACAACCAGGGCTCTAGTCGGGGGGGAGCTCTCAGGTACGGAGCTCCGGAAGAGAACCTCTAGGGGGCGGGGCGGTCACGTGGTGAAGCCCCGCCCCCTTCTTTACCCCGCCCTCTGCTTCGATCCTCATTCCGTTTGGGAATGAGGATGAAGCAGGAGGGTAAGTAGCCGGGCCTTCTGACACACTTCCGGTGATGTCAGGGGGTGTGGCCTTCTGTCACTTCCGGTGATGTCAGGGGGCGTGGCATATGCAAATAAGTTATGCTAATGAGTTATGCTAATGAGCTCCGGCAGCTCTTTTTCTACAACAAGACCCCTGAGCACAACTGTCTCTTTTATTCTTCTGGCTGTTTTTGCCCCCCTGTCTGTGAAAGTGGACATGTGTTTTATGCAACAGTGCTCTGATTCTTTCTTGTCCACTGCATGCATGCAGTTATATAT